TTTATAGAAAATTTTAATAAAAATTAAAAAAAAAATGAAGAATAATTAGCAAATTAATTTAACGTAATTAAATAAAAAATTTGATATTAAAAAATAAAAATTGGATTAAAAGTAACCCAGTAAATAAATTAACAGTAATAATTATAAACCCCTAATTAATTATATAATGATTAGATTGAAATTAGTAGTTAATTAGGTTATCTGTTTTAATCATATCTAAATAGGTGTGTTTACATGAGAAAGTCTAAAAAGAATAATTATCAAAAAAGAAGCAAAAGAAAAAGTGTAGCTATAACGAATGCGTTGAATATATATATATATATATGTGTGTGTGTGTGTGTGTGTGTATGTATATATTTACATATATATATATATACATATATTGGTGATCTGGTCCCATGCATGAAAAAGCAAAACCAAAAAGAAAAGGTAAAACTACTTTAACATTTGTTTTGGTTTTATGGTTTTCCTTTTATTCTTTCAATAAAAGCTCATAGATTCAAATTGTACGAGCACATATATATATATATATATATATATGTGTGTGTATATATTATGTAATTAATAAAATGTATAGATTTTTATTTACAGATAATATCCAAACCCTATCCATACAGAGAATTTCATTTCTACTTTTTTTCTTTTTTGTTTTGCATTTCTTTTTTACAATCATGTTTTCAAAGATAAATTTCGTGTGTGTATAAAAATAATTATAAGTATATATTATTTATAAAGTAGTACTTAATTTAATGATTGTAACGTTGATTAGTTTATACAAAATTATAAATTCAATTGAACCTTATGCGTTTGTCATTATTCGACAATTATTTTTATTATATTATAATAAATATATGTACATCACATATATCTTTTAATTTTTTAATTGACCAATTAACATATATGGTGTGAGCTGATTTTATTTTAATTATATATATATATGTATATGTATGGGAGTCACTTAGTTAAGGATCATTAATTAGGAGAGGCCATAAGTGCTCATCTGCCATCTTCATCTCCTTCTCTCTCTCTCTCTCTCTCTCTCTCTCTCTCTATATATATATATATATATATATATATATGCATGGAGATATGTGTCTAATTATCCCACGCCATAAAACTCTTGTTAGCTCCATTCTCTTCTTTACTTCTTCAATATAAATTTGCTTCACCTTTCTTCTTCGCACAACAAAAACCCAGAGAGATCTCATCTCTCTCTCTGACTTTACCATACCATATATATAAACTCCACTCCACACACACACATATATATATACCCATCATCTTCTTCTCCATCATCAATATGCTCAGATCTTTGGCAAGGTCTCTCTCTCTCTCTCTCTCTCTTCTCTCATATATACATATACATATATCCCTATTTAGGTAATAGCCAACTGGGTTCTTTCATCTTCTTGATTATCATTTATCAGTGTCTTGATCCAGCAGTTTCCATACATGTATGTATATATATATATTAACATATTGTATTCTTTTTCATTTACTGTTTTGGCAGGGGGTTTAAGTTGATTGGTAATGATTTGTTGACAAAGCCTGCAAGCTTTTCTTCAATATCTGGAGCAGCTGGAACTGGGAGGTAAAGTTCATCATTAATTCATTATTATTATCCCACATATACAAACCCTACGTAATTATTTTCACTTCATAGATGTAGCCACAATTTTTTTTTCCATTAAATAATATATATAGTTGAGATTTGGAAAGATAATTAAATATTAATTGATTTTAAATCGATTTTAAAAAAAAAAGATAATTTTTATATAATAAAATATGAATTAAATGCAAATATTCGTCAACTTTCAGAAACTTTAATGTGTATACACACACATTGATTGAGACAAACTTGTCATTTCAGAGACAATTAATTAAGAGGTAAATACTGTTTGGTGGTTCATCATTCATGCCAGCCTTGCAACTCTTTTTCCTTTTCTAATAATTAATATCTTGAAGATGACCATTCCATGATCCATGCATCTTTTCCATTTCCATTTTCTTCCCCCCCCCCCGACTACTTATTATGCTTCGTTTCTTTTATTGAAATCTAATTGGGTCTTGGATTTCTTATTTAAATTATTTAGTTTTAATATAATATATATATAATTTGATGTTAAAACAAAATTTATGATTTCATAATTCATGGGGCGTTACCCCCCCCAACCAAAATGCGTGTATTCTTGCATGTAACTGCAAAACTTATAAATTTACAATATTATATTGTGCCCATCACATTAAAAAATGCATATGTATACACACACACACACACACACGAGATACCCTTTTAACAGATTCTAATTTTTATTTATTTATTTATACAACATTATTTATCAATATATCCCAGAAATTCATCCACTGGTCCTTAATTTATAATGTTTTTGAAAAATACCCATTATTTATTACTCTATAAAATTTTTTACTATTGGTTAGGAAAAAACTAAATTGAGAAAGAAAATAATATGTTGATGATTAATAATAATTTATAAATCTGATTAAATTTTATAATAAATTTTTTTAAAAAATATTTTTTGTAATTAAGTAAAGTTTTTCTTTTCTTTTCTTTTATTTAATTCTCGATGTCTATTTCCACCTTCTTTTTTGGAAAAAAAAAATTCAAAGAAAATGACACATTTGGTATCTCGGTGCATAATTTTCAAAAGAAATCATAGATCTAACGTGTTGTTTTCAAAAATCTTCTGCTTTTCCGAAAAAGCAGACTCCAAGGCAGAGTGGCCGTAATAACAGGCGGCGCAAGTGGTCTTGGCAAGGCCACAGCCCAAGAATTCATCCATCAAGGCGCCCGAGTCATCCTTGCCGACATCAACACCCAATTAGGCCCACAAGTAGCCCAAGAACTCGGCCCAAATGCCCAATTCATCCACTGCGACGTAGCCATTGAGGCCCAAGTAGCAAACGCCGTAGACCCGCGGTGCACCAACACGGGAA